CCAGATCAGTTCAGCATTTAGCACTGTGGGGCAGATTCTAGGTGGTTTTATCTTTGTTTACCTTTAGGAAAATATGGCATTTCCTCACTTCCGTGATGGCTCCAGGAGTTATGGGTTCATTCATTTCCATGCATATTTGCTGACTGCCTGCAGTGTGGAAGGCAGTAAATAAACCTGTGCGAGTTGCTGCTAGTTCTTTGCGATGAGACAAGGCCATGTGGTCTTCCACACCTTGCATTGATTAGTATTTGAAACATTGATCCTGAAATCTATATCTTTGTGCTCACTTTCTTTTTTCAGTGTAGCAGCAGGTACAGGCTGGTATCCCTTTACCTTTACCTTTCTGGACAGTGTGATACACAGCACTCACTTCATTCAGCCTGTGACTAGCAAAGGCGGCTGAACTGTGGGTGCAAGCGTTGCATCATTCTGATAGCATACTTTCCAGATGAGGTTGACTTTATGTTTTGTTAAACAAAGTTAAAATGAGAGTAGAATCAAGAAGACCTGGTTATTGTTATGAAAAGACACAACCAAACATTTTAAATGAAGTGATTTAGAGGTTATTATCATGTTTTAGAGCATCACAGAGAAAGGCCTTGAATAATAATTAAAGGTCTCTTGTCTCAAAACTGAACTTTGCCCACCAGTCTTGGAGTGATGGTTAGCTTTCCAATTGTCAAAAATTTTTAGATTAGGAGAGTCTTGATTTAATGGCTCTGGTATATAACCTTTCCTATGGCCACTCAGTGCTTCCTGATTTCTACCTTGCTGTCAGCCAGTCCTGTGCTTGGAAATATAGACTAGCTGATCACCATCCTCTGAGACACATTTCATGTACACAGAATCTCATGTATCTAGATCACTTGGAGATGAGAATCACCTAGATAAACAAAACTGTGCCCAGACATAGTAAGGGCCATCCTCCTGGACCATGACCATGTATTAACTCACATTTAGGAGGCATCTGCTGTAACCCAGCCATCCTGGTTCACACTCCACCCACCATATTTCAGCCCCTCTGAGAAGCTTCCTTCTAGCCCTATTCTGTGTGCATCCCTGACCTCCACCCTCCCCTTGTTATTCCTCCTATGTAGTCCTTACCAGTTCTGTGGTGGTCCTCTATCTTCATTTGGATGCTCAGGTTCTCAGCAGCCTCAGCAACTTCAGGGTTCTCATTGTCTTTAGGTCTTCAGCCCGTCTCTTCCAGGCACACACTGGGGTTGTTTTTTGGCTTCTTGAGGACTGAGAGATTATGCCCTTCAATATAAGTGAAAGGCCAGGGACAGCACACCAGACCCAAATCCACACCCACACTGGAGCTAACACTCAGAAGGGGCATGCCTTTTGTAGAGGTTACAAGCAGACTGCCCATGCCTTGAGTTTTGTTTTCCCCAGAGGAGCTCAAATGCAAGGATTTCAGATTCATAGACCTTAGATTGTAACAAGTGGTAAAACAACACCTGAACAAAGCTCCACATTAAACATCCCCTTCCAAAGACCTCACAGAAACCTTGAGAGACCAGGCATCTGAGATGCAGATCTTGACATTTCTAAGTAACAAGCAGAGATTACATTGTTTGGGAGGGAGTCTTGCTCCAGGTTGAGGGTGGGGAAATCATTCTCCTAAACAACTTGGGTTGTTTCCTCAGAGGAAAAATAAATGTCACATTTCTATTGGCAAACCAGGAGGCTATTTTAGCTGCAAAGTCAAAGAATTAAATATTTTCCAGAGCAAGAATGCTCAGATATGTAGCCAATAAATAACATGTACTAGGTGACACACTAAATGTAACTATTCTCTCAGTGACACATGGCAATGCAAAAGTCAGTGCCTGGGAAAGGACTAGAAATGATCAGATGGAAATTTCCCTCAGAATATAGAGCTGAAACTTGTGTTCATTTGATTATCAAAGTCTTAGCTCTTTTATGAAGTCATAACTGGGTCATAACCCAGTGAACTGTTGGATATGAAAATTTCCGTGAGCAGCTGCTTTTCTTCACTGGTAAATTAAAAAACACAAAATGAAAAGAGTTTTTCTATCAGATTGGATACACGGAGCATTTTCTAATTGCTTTTAGATCCTAACAATTGTAGGCAAATAGTATATGCAATGAGTCCTGCCAAAATCTTGAGTTCTTTTTCCAAGACAGTTACATTGAGGTCCCAAACAAGAAAAATGTATATAGAAATGGGTGAGACCCACCTAATCCAGCTAATACACAGTCTTTAAGTCAACATGTTTATAAATTTACTCACTCATCTTCATTTCATGGGCAATAAATAAGATGTTGGTTGCACCTCAGATGAATTGTCAGTGATCCTGGCAATTTAACTGTGTTCATTGTGCTGTTACTGTTCCTGACAGTTATCTCTATGGTTATTGGGGTGATTAAATGAGATAATGCATTTCAAGTCTTAGAGCAGTGCCTGGCATATAAGTAATGTGAGCAAGCTGTGCCTTTTCTAATTCTGCCTCTGAAGATTGCTGACTACTTTTAGGCTACCTCTTCCAATGACCACTGATTTAGATTACTAAATCATTATTTCTGTCGACTCCCTGCTTTCTCTCGATATTAAGGGACAGTTTGTACTGCTTCTATGTTGAAATGACTATCCCTGAGCATAGACTTGCTTTAAATTCATCCGTGTTCATCTGATTACTCGAAGACAGCTATGTCTGTGTCTTCACCCTAATAAACCAAATGTTCTCATCCATAAATCTGTCTCCTTTAAGCCAATCTTATTGTCTACAAATAAATACATGCTTGACTCCCAATGTCGTTTCCCCTATCTCCATAACTGTCATTTATCTATCCAGTTGCCTATACCAGAAATTTAGAAATCATCCTTGACTCTGCCTTCTTTCCTCCACCCCACAGCTGATCCATCAGGTACTATCATTTCTACTTTTAAAAAAAGTGTTGTAAATCCACCAACCCCAAACTGTAGTGCTACACCCTATCCTAAGCCACCGTCACCTCTTGTTTGGATAAGTGCAATAGCTTCCTGAGCAGTTTTCTTGTTTTCAGTCACACTTACATTCCTGGCCATCATTCACTCAGTGTTCAAGGTGGAATTTTTGAAGAAAAATAAGACCATGTCTTACCCTGACTTAAAAACTCTTCAGTGATTTCCCATTGCATGCTGAATAAAATCCAAATACATTGTTGTAATCTGTGAGTTCTGCACGCTCTGGCCCCAGGGAATGTCTTCTCAGGGAGCCCTCTTCTAACCACTCCAGACCATTTCTTTTATAACACTCAGCTCAACTAATAAGCATTTATTTTTTTTATCACTTGATTAATGCTGTTTTTCCTCACTGGTCTATAAGCTTCTATGAAGACAGGAGTAATATTATCAGTTTTTTTCATCACTATACCCCCAATGCATGGCATAATTCCTAGAATTTAGTATGTGCTTAATAAATGTTGAATGAACAAGTGAACTCACCCCAAATTCTAATTGTGACCTTATGTTATTTTCTTATCAAAGTAACATTTTTAATATTAAAATTAGTTACTAATAACGGGGAATACCTGTGTGCAAGTCATTAGATCACTGGTTTATAGGAAGATTTCTGGGAACTTCATCCTAAAAGCCTTCTAGAATCATATCCCAAAGTCTTAAGGCACTTTAGAACACTGTAAGTTGAATTATGGATATTTTAGTTTTGGTATAGATATTCAGAGTTGGCTCCTTCCTTCCACACTGTCTACTCTATTAAGGTTTCCAGAATGACTGCACCAAATTATAATACACAGAAGATGAGAGCCCAATTGAAAACAGCAATGTAACCATCTCTTAAAATAAAAAGTTAGCATCACACCTGTTAAAATACATATTTTAAATCTATCAGCTACTACTGAAATTTTTATGATGGTTTGTATTTACTAGAAAAACATGTCTGGCAAGTTTATGAATGGTATAACTTTGAGCATGCTTGGATGGTAATGGTGGTTGAATTGATATCAGGCTGCATGTTTTACATAGTGCTATTTATCTATGACACATGAAAGGGCACTTTAGTGATTTAAGTTAACAAAGTCACAGAGTTAGTAGAGGGAATAAGAAATATTGAATAGAAGGAAATGGCACTTGAAATATGTTTTCATTGCATTTTCACATTTTCCTTCATTCTTAAACTCATTTCCCTCTGGAAAGCAAGAACGTTATATATTGGGAAATAATGTGTCATGAAAACCTGAGCCAGCAAGCTTATAAGCCAAGTAGTAATGACTCCTATAATTGCTAATGAGGCAATGGAAGTTGAATATCTCAGGCATTCACTCGGGCAGCCTGTTGCCTGTTCTACAAGAAGCTGTCATATCAAATTTTTGTCTTAACTCCCTGGGCACTTTGATTCTTAAACCTTTTTGAGAAACCTAATCTGAAATCAAAGTCAGATTGCTTAGATGTGGTCAGACAAGGTCACATTTAAAACAGTTCAGTGAACCTGCAGACCGAAGTTGAAAGGTAATGCCTCCCTCCCCAAATTGAGACTTTATCCTCTGAAAAATGGCGAAGAGCTTCCTCCTATCATTTAATTAGGAAATTGGACACAGCTGTATTTTGGAAATGCAACTTTATCCAAATCAGTGACTCATGAGGCATTTTGTTGAAGAAATATCTTGGTCAGAGACTGCATGAAATGAGACATGAAAAGAAGTCCTTATTCATAGTAAGATGAATTCTTTAAATCAGAATTGCATGGCAATTTCAGGTCTGTGGGCTTCATTCCTGGCCTAAATTATCCAGATTTGCCCACTCTGGCCCCAAACACTACACAGGATTGCTGCTACAATGCTGTAGACACTTTTCCCCCCAATGCTACTTGCCTTCCAGGTTGTGCCTTGAGATGTTATGCAAAATGGCGCTGGAAATGGGGGGATGGTAACTCCTGTTAAGCATGATCTTAACATCTCACAACACACAATTTTATCAAACTCACTGTGATTAAAAAAAACAACAACAACCTTGCCATTGCTTTATATTTCAGTGTTCTGTCTCTTGTGGTCGAGGGCATAAACAACGAAATGTTTACTGCATGGCAAAAGATGGAAGCCATTTAGAAAGTGATTACTGTAAACACCTTGCTAAGCCAAATGGGCACAGAAAGTGCCGAGGAGGAAGATGCCCCAAGTGGAAGGCTGGCGCCTGGAGTCAGGTGAGCAATGCTTCTCCTCTATGACTGCTTCATTACCTTCAGGCATGTGGCTGAGACCAGCATGTTGGTCTGTGTTCCTGTGCCTAGTTTTCTTTTTTCAGAGGGGAGCTCGGGGACTGGGAGGGAAGAATCTCTGTGAGGATACTTATTAGCTGCGGAATCTCGGGCAAGTGCCCTCAGTCCTTGGCACCTTGAATGCTACCTGCAGTAGAGTGGTTGTGCGGATTAATTCTCAGTGGTAGCAGGTGTAGGTATCAGACATTTAGCAGAGTAGCTGCTCAATGCTGTCCTAATGGCATTTGTATTATCATTCACTACTTAGAAAACCACTAATTCACATTGCAGTGAAGTTGACAATAGTCACCCGGCAGGAAATGAGTCCGAATTTACTTCCAAGGTTCTTAAAGAAAGGGCTTGTCAATATAAAGTATTAGAGACTATTTCTTTCCCCATTTACTTGTATATAAGAGAGGTGGGGGACAGCAGGTTAGTTCTCTGTCGTTTCCTAGTTTATGTAACGTTGGGTGATTTCTTTAACCTTCCTGAGCCTACTTCACCTAGTTCTTATGATGATTTAATGCAATAACGAATGCCATGTCCTTGAATCTCATAGGCTCTCAAGAATAATTTGTTTGGATAAGTGTGATGTGTGTATAAGGGGTAGGGTGTTACTGCCCAAGAAACTGATTATGGTTAGACTCTGCTAATTCTAAACGTTTGGTAATTTAGTCAGAAATTGGGTGTGAGAGTCTCCCTGATGCATTTAAGAAGAAATTCTCAAAACTTCTATTTCTTTATAAACAATGGATACATGAACTGAAGTCACTGGCATGTGGTCCTTAAAGTAAATCTCATCACTCCACACCTGTTCATTTTCTCAGAGTGGTTGGAGGTGCTTACTTAAAAGTAATTAAGGCTGAATTTCTTTTCACTTATTCTGTATTTCATGTTGCTCCCTTCTCTCCATTGCTTTGATTCAAGGAGATCTGAGTGAATTTGTGGTTCTTCCAGACAGTGAAGAACCATGCGGATATTCTTTAGAATCAGTTTTTTAAAAAACTAGGTTCAAGGTTGGCAGCCTCCAGATTGATTTTTCCACAGCCTACATCTTGATACCTAAGGCCCATAGAAGAATTGGGCATCCATATTAATGTGAGAAGGAACTGAAAAATCCTTCATTTCTACATGGCTGGTAATTTTCTATGAAATTCACATTTCCCCTAGAAATGTGAATTTTTCTTAAGTGCTCTGAGGTGGCATCATTGTCCCTGATGCCTCCCAGCTGTATTTCACTTCTCTGCATCATTCTCCAGCAGAGAGGACTCTGATCCTCTCAAGGCTTTTAAGATATTGATCATGTTTGTTTTCGCCTTTGTTTTAATTTAATCCTCAAAGCACCTGTGCCCAGCCAGAGGCATATCCTCCTTTGGTTTCCTTGAGGGATGCACTTTCAAGGCAGTGCTTCATACCAGTCTTCCTTAATGGTTGTCTAAGTGACTCCTGTCATCCCCAACTCCTAGGCCTTTGATTTGGGGAGCTGTTCAATTCATGTAAATGTCCACAGTTAACCTTACTTAAGAAACCACACTAATTAGCTTGTCCTATTGTAGACTTCCATGCTCTTACTTTTCTTTAGGTTCCTCAGCTTCAATTTATCCATTTGCATCTTGCCCCGAATATTAAGTTTACAGCATGTAAAATGATGCTCATTTTAAAGTCCAATTCTTTTGATAAAAAGATAGTCAAAAGAATCTTCCTCTCTTTATTGGTAAACACAGTGTGAGTTTTATTGCAGTATCCTGTGATCTCGATGGGAAGTCTCAAATTCCTCACAAAGCTGTAATGATTATGTTTGAACCCTGAGTGGGTTGGATTTTTTGTGTGTGACAATCAATTGATTTTTTAAATATATTTTATTGATTATGCTATTACAGTTGTCCCATTTCCCCCCTTTTATTCCCCTCTGCCCTGCACACCCCCACCCACCCACATTTCCCCACTTCAGTTCATGTCATGGGTCGTACATATAAGTTCTTTGGCTTCTACATTTTCTCTACTATTCTTAACCTCCCCTTGTCTGTGCTACTTATTCTCTGTACCTTTTCACCCCCCTTCACCTCCCACTCTCCCACTGAAAACCCTCCAAGTGATCTCCATTTCTGTGATTCTGTTCCTGTCATAGTTGTTAGTTTGTTTTTTGTTTTTGGGGGTTTTTTAGGTTCAGTTGTTAATAGCTGTGAGTTTGTCATTTTACTGTTCATAGTTTTTATCTTGTCCCTTTCACATTTCATATAATAAGGGCTGGGCGATGATGACCTTCTTTAACTTGACCTTATCTGGGAAGCACTTTATCTGGCTTCTATTCTAAATGAAAGTTTTGATGGATAGAGTAATCTTGGATGTATGTCCTTGCCTTTCCTTGGAATACTTCTTTCTAGCCCCTTCTTGCTTGCAAGGTTTCTTTTAAGAAATCAGAAGACAGTCTTATGGGAACTCCTTTGTAGGTAACACTGTCCTTTTCTCTTGCTGCTTTTAAGATTCTCTCCTGCTCTTTAATTTAGAGTAATGTAATTATGATGTGCCTTGGTGTGCTCTTCCTTGTGTCCAATGTCTTTGGGGCTCTCTGAGCTTCCCGGACTTCCTGAAAGTCTATTTCCTTTGCCAGATTGGGGAAGTTTCCTTTCATTATTTTTTCAAATAAATTTTCAATTTCTTGATCTTCCTCTTCTCCTCCTGGCACCCCTATGATTTGGGTGTTGGAAAGTTTAAAGATGCCTTAGAGGTTCCTCACCCTCTCCTCATTTTTTTGAATTCTTGTTTCTTTATTCTGTTCTGGTTGAAAGTTTATTTCTTTCTTCTGCACCAAACCATTGATTTGAGTCCTGGCTTCTTTTTTATCACTGTTGGTTCCCTGTAGATTTTTCTTTATTTCACATAATGCAAACTTCATTGCTGCCTGGGTCTTTTTTATGCTGTTGGAGTGCCCAGTGAGTTCCTGGAGCATCTTGATAACCAGTGTTTTGAACTGTGTATCTGATAAGTTGGCTATGTCTTCATTATTTAGTTGTCCTGAGTGGTTTTTGTTTTTCAAACATAAGGTAACAGGATTTTCAGAATGCCTCTCCACAAAAGACCATATCTGTTCAAAGTAATTGCTTAGAAAAGTCTAGTTTCTTTTGTAGAAGATACAAGTACACATAGTTATGTAATGGTCTGTGGCTAGCTTTTAAATGCCCTAATTTGATTTGCAGAAATGAATTATTTATAAAAGCAGGCAAGACAAGGTGCTGCTTATGCAAAATTCAATTTCTGCAATTTAAAAGTATACCTAAAAGTACTCAGACCCGGTGGCTGATGGAGAAAGATGGTCTACATGATTAAAGATTGTTGGCTTACTAATGATCTGGTAGTAAACAGGAATATCCCTAAGGCAGTGATATTAAAGCAAGAGTAATGATTATCCATTTGCACCAAATTTAGAAGATTTTACATCTGGTCCCTTTGTTTTCTGCTGATAGCTATTTTCTGGTCATCTCTTCTTCAAGGTAGGAAGAATAATTAGTGCAATTTCTCATCCTGTCAAAATGCCTGCTGATAAGACATATAGAATATTGGGATAGGAGTCTAGGGTAGTTATACTAATCTTCATAGTCTCTCCCTGAAAATTGGCACTTTGAGATTTAAAGTGAAATGTTTTATTTAACCTACATCTTTTGAAAATCTTGAAATTGTAAAGAAAAAGTCTCCAAAGAAAGGAATGCTTTTCTTGAAAAGCATCCTCACTATAGTTTTAAAGCATCTTTTTTTCAAAAGTTCATGTTCAATTTGTTTACATGATCAAGAACTAAGGTTAGGTGCCTATGAAATTTTAAGGCAAACATCAGCATCAAATTCCTGGCTCAGCTCTGTCTTGTCACAATAAAAAAGCATTCCAGAGTGACATTTCTTTACCTTATCCCGTTCCTAACAGAAGGCCTTTTAAAAAAAAATGAAGATCAGAAACAAAAACAATAAATGATTCAATTAGAATTTATAAGTCATGAATTTATTCAGTGGATCATTCATCAAGCCTGAATTACCTGCCTTTTTTTATTCTTTACCATCTCAGTGGTCAGGATGGGGCTACAACTCAATTGGAATGCCATGATTTAATTAATAGCTGTTGTTTTTTTGTCTCACTGATACAAACATAATGCTGTGCTTACAATCAGTGCTGTCTTCGATTGAGGGAAATCATTCATTTTTTTCCATCTCTTCAATTCAGCTTCAAAACAGAAGCTGGCGATTGCATTAGGAATCAACCAGCCACTTGGAGTTAGGATTTTTACCTTTTTTTTCAGATTTTTATTTATTTATTTTTGGAGAGAGGAGAAAGAGAGAGAAACATGTGTGAGAGAAACATTAATCAGTTGCCTCTCACACAACCGGGGACCTAGCCAATATCCCAGGCATGTGCCCTGGCTGGGAATCGAACTGGCAGACTTTCAGTCCATAGGCCAGCACTCAATCCACTGAGCTAAACCAGCTAGGACAAGGCTTTTGTCTTAACTACAATGAGAACAGAAGCTGTGGTGTCATATTCTGAAGTATTCTGCAAGTATTTAAGTGAGAAACATGGAAAATACGTAGCTTCATCTTTTGAGAAATCAAGGAAATCATATGCATCTGGTCAGTGAGAAGTGGAGTTGCTTTAAAGATAGATGTGTGCTCTCATGACTGTGTTTGTGTTTGAGCTATGAGCATTGGTGTTGAATTGCCTGCATACAGGCTTCCCACCTGCACTCTACCTGACACTGTGCAGAAGGCTGCATCCTGTTAGTATTGTATTTTAAAACTGGTGTCCACAGTACCTATCCTCAGTACATTGCTTGGGACAGAATTTACTTTGACTTTGTTTTTCTTGTTTTGAGTGAGTTAGAGTAATTATCTCTGTTCTTTGCTTAATTTACTTGCAGAATACCTGCCTAAAATTTACTAAAAAATACAAAAGGTATTTTATGTAAAATGCTTAACATTGGGATCAGCTCTCAGCCAGGGTGAATTTGTAGCCCTTGGGACATTTGGCTATGTCTGGAGACAGCTTTGGTTGCCACCACGAGGCGGGGCAAGGGAAATGCAACTGACACCTAGTGGGCAGAGTCCAGCAGTGCTGCTCGACTTCCTGTAATGCACGATACAGTCTGTAACCAAAAGGAATTATTAGGTTGAGAAACCCTCTTTTAGAGACTGGTACGTAGTAAATGCTAAGTAAAAGTTTGCTATTTCTGTTGTTACCAATTATATTATTATAGTTGGTTCATATAGTTATTTTTCAAGCTAGCCTCTCCTTTAAATAATGTGACCACTGTAATACTAGAAGAAAGTATCTGAAATTCTTTCCAGGGTTTCAAGTGTATATTATGATTCCCCAAGCATCCGAACTTCCGCAGAGATTCTTTTTATCTATGGAAGTAAATAAGCATCAAGTCAGTGAGTTCTGCATAGTAGCTCTGCACAGCAGGGACTGTAGAGAGATGAAACAGCTCCCGGCTCAGTAGTTCGGAACTAAAAACATCTACTTTTAAACCTGCACAAATAGAGTACTGCGCAGAATGATGGCTGTGGGGAACACATTAATAGAGACTGCTCATCTTTTTTTCTCTACAAACTAACCAAAAGATGTAGTAAGTAAAACCAGAAGAATTAAGCACATGCAAGTGCACATATCACCACCATCACCACCTCCAGGATCATACCGAGGTTTTTTTCATGTTGTTTTATTCATGGGGTTTCTGCACAAATCTCTCAGAATTCACCAAGCAAGCCTGGCTGGCTGTGTATGCAAATTGTTGCGTCCCCTGAGACAGCACAGGAGGAAAACTGGAGCCCAGACAAGGAGCTGAGGCGGTTTGCTTCATTTGGACAAAGATTACAGTGGATGCAGGATGCAGAAAGGCAGAGCTTGTGCCTGTTGTGCATTTAAGTCAGGCTGAAACTTTTTTGCATTATTTCAAAGCTGGTTTCGACATAATAAAAATCAGAAGCCACAAAGATATATTATGTAATTGAACTTCCCTGTGTCTCTATTTGCCTTTTTGAAAAATTATCAAACATTGAAGGAAGTGATTTTTTAAATGTTGCACACTTAGGGCTCTTAATACTTTCCCTTTGTCCAACCATATGTAATTTACTCAATAATGATAGGACTAAAAAGAGGTTTCATTGACTTACAGCCTGAATAGTATGCAGTCTAAAAGTCTTTAATGTCATTTCCTTCTTCCTTAGGCTATTAAGGCATCGTGAGCTTCTGAATATGTGTCAACCCTGTGCCCAACTCAAATTTGTTTATGTAAATGTTCCTTTTCTTCCTTTGTATTGCCATTTGGATACATTGTTCTGGACATGTACAGTTTTACATTTTAGACCCCAAATTCAAATAGCCAAAGGCTTTTTGGGTTGTTGTTTGCTGATGATGACAGCGTTTGAATGTTTCTCTCATTGATGTGGTAACTCTCCCGTGCTACCATTCATTCATTTCCAGGGTAATCAATGGGAAATATTATACGTGTGGCTCCCATAACATTATATGGCCATTCTCTGTAGATAAAGCAGTCACTTGTGTCCTGGCACCCCCGGTTCCATCAGCATATGATGACCTTAAAAGTCTGTTTTTTGTGGGTCACAAACTCCTTAAATCCAATTAATACAATTAAATCCAAACAATAATAGCTGTGTTGCGCCAAAACATTTCCTCTCTTTAGCTGGCTTTGCTGTGAACATTTGAGTTCCTGCCTAGCTTAGACTCATCTGAAACAATGCGATTTCCCGAGGTGCCTATGATCTGGAAATCTGAAATGGCAATACAATTAATATTCAGCAAAATTCAGTGGGTGTACTTGATACCACATTTCCATTAGCTCAGAATGAGAGGAGTCTTACTGCAGGTTAATTGGACAACATTTTTTTTCCTAATTTAAAATAGCATGGTTCTATTTTTTATTAAGACTTCCTCTTAGGCATATGGCTTTAATGTATGTTAAACTTGTTTTCTCAATGCCAGGCAAATTAATGGAGGCAAAGCTATCAGAAAAACTTGGTAAAAATTTCAACTTGCTAAGTATAATAGTATGCTGGGGTTTTTTTTCAATCAGATGGCGCCTTTCATTTCTGTCAAAGCCTTAATAAAGAGTATAATTTTTGGCCTGACTGTAAGTGAGATTATAAAATCCATCAATGAAAAAAACATTTAAAAATTAATTTAGAGGAAAGTTAATTGCAGGTTTAATATGGTGTTTTGCAACTTGGTCGACCAAATGCTTCAGCCTGATGAACAGTATTTGTTGAGAGCTGAAACATCGTGCCTAAGGAAATGTTTTTTTCCTTCTCAGCTTTTATTTTTATGTAGTCAACTTAGGTTGTAGATAGACAAAGATACTGGTGAATTCCATAGTTTAGAAAAATTCCTCTGTCTCCAGAGCAAGAAAAGGAAGAGACTGGAGAAAATAATTCTACATACAAGGTCCTAAAAGTTTCAGCTCCTTGGGCTATACTCTTAACCTGCCAAGAAATTATTCTGGTAGAGTTCTGTAGTTCTACTTTAGAAGAACCTCAAATCCTCTGAGATAGAAATTACTTGGGATTTTTATTTCACATGGCAGCTCTATTTCTAGGTTGTACTAAATGTTTCCTAATGATCTGTCTCAGTCTCTTCAATTGTCCTAAAATTTTGGTAACTTTAGAGATTCCTGAAACTTGAATACCTTCCTCACTCATCAATACTGATAGGCAGTGAGTTTGCAGATTTAAGACCTTACTTTGGGTCTGTTCATTAGAAATTAGAAATCCTTGTGATAGCTGTGAAAGGCATTGGATTAGGGGTGCATTCCTCAGGTCTGTGGCTCCCCCTACCACACACACACACACACACACACACACACACACCCAAAGACCCAAAGACCCAAAGCTGCCACTTACACACTCTTGTCTTCTTAGTGCTCTGTGTCCTGTGGCCAAGGCGTGCAGCGGAGAAATGTGGGCTGTCAGATGGGAACACGCAAGGTAGGCAGCGAGACCGAGTGCAACCCCTACGTCAGACCCGAGTCGGAGCGCACCTGCCAAGCCCCGCTGTGTCCTCTCTATGCTTGGAGGGCAGAGGAATGGCAAGAAGTAAGTAGAGCCATGAAGTGGTCACTTGCCAGGCATTTCACTCAACCCCCTTGCTATCATCACATCTATCCCCTGTGAAGCCTTCAAGCACAGTGACCAGGCTGGCTTGCTCCCAAAGGTTTGTGGTCAGAGGCAGGCAGCTCACTCCCACCAGGCTGGGATGGCTCCTCCTTTTTTCAAAATTCCTCTGTCTGAGTCCTTGAATGTTCCTACTCTGGCTGCCTCCAGAGACCTTTAACGGGCGTTAGGCCAAATGCATGCAGCTAACTGTCACAGGAGGAAGGGAAATGAATGAAATATTTTAAACACGTGTATCTCGACTTGGTTGTTCTGTGGCAGACAGCCACGGTCAGACTCCAGTAGGACTATATTCCTCCTCCTCCCAGACCTTGGCTGTCAGGTAGGAGAGAGGCCCTCACCAGAAACCCCGATTAATTAATTAGTGAAGTATTTCACAACATTAAGAAAATCATGGAATCTGAAGAATTGCTCTGTTGATGAAATAGACTTGTTTTTCTCCCACTTAATGTTTGGTTAAAGAAAATGTTAATGTTTAGTCAACATTATTATGTTAATTAACATTATTAACATTATTAATTAACAATATTAATGTTTTGTCAAAGAATATACTAACTGTCCCTAAGGAAAAGTCTGGCTAAAAAGGTAAGACATTAATAGGAGCTAACCTCTGTATCCAGAACAGAAAATTCAATGGTAGAATAGGGGGGAAAGAGCTTTAGGAAGCAAAACCATGTCCACTGATATTGGAATGAAATAGAAAATGCATACTGTTATTCACAATAGCTAAGACATGGAAACAACTCATGTGTCCTTCAACAGATGACTAGATAAAGAAGATGTAGTAAATACAGAGTGGTGGGCAAAAGTATGTTTACAGTTGAAATACAAATAAATACTACAATAATTAATAAATAATATGAGAATAAACTGTTTCACATGAAATACAAATAATACAATAATTAATAAATAATAACACAAGAATAAACTCTGTGTTTTACGTGCTCACAACTGTAAACCTCCTTTTGTCCCACCCTGCGTCTACAATAGACTGCTACTCAGCCATTAAAAAGATGAAATATTGCCATTTGTGACAACACGGTTGGATTTTGAGGGTATCATGCTAAGTGAAGTAAGTCAGGTGGAAAAGTGCAATTCCACTTTTTTCCAGTTTTATTGAATATAATTGACATATAGTATTATATAAATTTTGGTGAAAATATGATGATTTGATATATTGCAAAATAATTACTACAGTAAGTTATAGTGACAACATATTGGATTTTGAGGGTATCATGATAAGTGAAGTAAATCAGATGGAAAAGTGCAAGAGCCATTTGATTTCACTCCTATGTGGAATATAGACTGAAAGCAACCAACTAATCAAACAAGCGAGAAGTAAACTCATAGACACAGACAACAGTGTGGTGGTTAATAGAGGGAAAGGAGGTGGGGAGGTTGAAGAAGATAAAGGGGGTCAAATACAGTGATGGCAGGAGACTGACTTCAGGTGGTAAGCATATAATACAGTGTTCAGATGCCAGATTATGAAGTTGTACACCTGAAATTTACATAGTGTCATTGACCAATGTTATCCCAGTAAGTTCAAATGTGAAAAAGAAAATGCATTCTGTAAAAGGTTTAGAGATACAAATAGTAAGACAGAAATTTACTACCAGGAGGAATTTTTATAACAGGGGTAAATTGTGGCCTGCATGGCGTTAAGTGCTTTTTGTTCACCACCTCACTTAATCTTTATAACCACTAGACAAAGTGGGCATTATTATTATGACCCCATTTTTCAGTTAAGGAAAATGAGGTTCAGAGAGCCAATGTCATTTGTCCAAATGCCACATAGCTAGCAAATGGAAGAATCAAGACTCAATACTATATTCATTCTCTTAGAACATTATGAAATACTATACTGTGTGCTTTTTTTATTATTATTTCATACTAGTACTGTGGCTATTCCACTTTTTTCCAGTTTTATTGAATATAATTGACATATAGTATTATATTCATTTTTGGTGAAAACATGATGATTTTATATATGTATATATTGCAAAATAATTACTACAGTAAGTTGTAGTTAATATCCACTAACTATAGTGAAATGGTATAGCTATATAGCTAAATACTGATACTATTAGCTATAGTGAACCATATAAGTGAAATCATATGGTTCTCGCCCTTTTCCATCCAACTTACTTCACTTGGTTACCTCACATACCTACAAATTGTCTTTCTTATGCTGAAAAGTTTTAAGATCTACTCTCTTGGCAAATTTTAAATATACAATATGGTATTGTCAACCATAGTCACCATGATAGACATTACATCCCAGGATTTACTTATCTTATAACTGAAAGTTTCTACATTTTGACCAGCTTCTCCATATTTGTAAGTTTGGTATTTTAAATATTCTACATATAAGTAATATCATACAGTATTTGTCTTTCTCTGTCTGATTTATATCACCATAATGCCTTCAAGATTCATCCATGTTGTTGCAGATGGTAGGATTTCCTTTTTTAATGGCTAAATTATATTCATATATATATGTGTGAATAAAGTATATGTATAATTGAGAGAGATAGAGAGACTGTATTTTCTGTATGTTTTATCCGTCAGTGGACACTTAGGTTGCTTCCATATCTTGGCTGTTGTAAATATTGCTGCAATAAACATAGGGTACATACATCCTTTTGAGTTAGTGACTTTGTTTTCTTTGGATAAATAACCAGAAGTGTGGTCACTGCCTCATTTGGTTGCTCTGGTTGCAATTTTCTGAGGAACCCCCATACTGTTTTCCACAGTGGCTGCACCAATTCATACTCCTACCAACAGTGCACAAGGGTTCCCTTTTTTCCATATCGTCACCAACACTTGTTATTTCTTGTCTTCTTGATGATAGCCATTCTATCAGGTGTGAGGTGATATCTATTCTGGTTTTGAGTTACATTTCCTTGATGATTTGTGATGTTGAGTGCCTTTTCATATACCTATTGGCCATTTTGTATGTCTTCTTTTGAGAAATGTCTGTTCAGGTCCTTTGCCTATTTTTAGTCTGATGTGGTCCCACTTGTTTATTTTGCCTTTGCTGCCTTTGTTTTGGGTGTCAATCCAAAAAATCATTGCCAAGATTGATGTCAAGAAACTTACCCCTATGTTTTCTATTAGGAGTGTCATGGTTTCAGGTGTTATGTTCAAGTCTTTCATCCATTTTGAATTGATTTTTGTGTATGAGGTAAGATATGGGGTCCCATTTGATTCTTTTGCAGGTAGCTATTATCCTAACACTGTTATTGAAGAGACTGTCCTTTCCCCTTTGTATATTCTTGGCTCCTTTGTAATAAATCATCCCAACATATATATGTGTGGGTTTATTTCTAGGTACTCTATTCTATTCCATTGATATGTGTGTTATTTTTATGCCAGTAACATACTGTTTTGATTACTATAGCTTTGTATTATAGGTTGAAACCAGGGAGCATGATGCCTCCAGCTTTGCTGTTCTTTGTCAAGATCGCAGTTCAGGAGAATAGAATATCTTTTAATTTATTTGTGTCTTCTTCAGTTTCTTTTATCAGTGTCTTACAGTTTTCAGTGTACTGATCTTTCACCTTCATGAATAAATTTATTCCTAGTTTAATTTTTTGATGCAATTTTAAATGGGATTTTTTTAAAGAACTATAGGCTTCAAATGTGTGGGGATCTAGCCTTCCAGACCTATCCTTCCCTCTCCCTCCTCCCCACTAATGGTCCCATTGTTTGCAGTCATCTCTTTCCTTTGGGCTTTCACCTTCTTTCTTCCTCCCACCTCCTCTCTCACCCACTCACTCTGTGACATTTAACCTGATACCTAGTTGGGGCAGGCATCAGTCTTGACTTTCCTCCCTTCATCTAGTGACTCTTTGACTTGATGTCAGTGAGCTTGCCAAGGCACAGCCTGAGAGCCCACTGAACGGGAGGTTTCCCCAGCCCACCCCTTTACAGCAAATTGTCTTTCTCTTAGTAGTCCTTGGCAGCCATCAGAGCTCTTGTTTGCTTTCTGAGTGTACACTTTCCTCTTTTGCTTCCCCCTCTCAACTATTAAAATTTGCCTGTTTGTTGACAAGATGCATTTCATGCTAGGCACATAGCAAATGGCACCCTCCTCTTTTTGAGAGAGAAACCACACATCCACCTTGAGAAGTATAAGTTCTGCATACATACAATAGCATCATCAACATATTTTATACAGCCACTCATGCTGTGCACTGCACAACTCTGGAGGTGCTGTTTCTATAGGCTGCAATAGCAGAGGTACCCACTAGAGTTGTATAGCACAATGGCCCCACAACTGATGATGATTTTAAATCATCTTATCATACATCTTATCATTTAAGCTATAGACTGAACACTATGTGGAGAACCTCATTTAGCCTTTTCCATAAGTCTCTAATGTAGTAATTAAATTTCTATCCTCACTTAAAGGTGAGGAAACTTGAGGCTTAGATAGGTTAATTCATCCAAGTTTATGCATTTACCAGGTAATAAGGCTGGGATTCAAAGCCTAGCAGCCTGACCTCTGAACACATGCTCTGAATCTTTATATTCCCCTGCCTTTCAGTTACCTAACTTGAATAATTTTATTTCCTTCTTAATGGCTTTTCCAGCCTCTCACTGCAGAGTTGGCATCAAAGTAGAATTCCCTTGACTGGGTGATCACCCCCACCTACTTCTAAAAATAAAATTCTTGGTCCAGTTGGTTGGTGATCAGACCTTAAGCCATGTGGTTGAACTGAGTGGATGGGGGTCTCAATGATGCTGGAGCACTTTTGTTTATTGTGAGGCCTGTTGGCTATGTGGGCGGAAGAGACATCAGTGTGCCTTCATGGCAGCACAGTATAGCCCCTGGATTTTCAGATGTAGGGCAAAATAATTGGAGAAGAGAAAAATATTCTATCCAGACATTAGTGTATCATTTTGTTTATGCCCTG